CTAGTGAACTATAGGTAGTCGACCATGCTGATTTCAAACATCAACATGAGACGGGGTGCTAGACCTCCGGAGATCGGTTTTCTAGAAGACCAGTTTTTCAGAAACTCCAAAAAATCTCCGAAACTTGTCGTAATTAGTCATGTTTGTAGCGCGCAAAATTCTAATAAAAATGAGACATCTCCCAGCTCTACATGACCTTTCTTTGCAAAGTTATAGAATCTACGACAAAAGCTCTAAATTTCTTTTTTCCTTTTTCTTCCTATATCTCTGAGCTAACAATGAACATTTGGGGCTTCCCTTGTAAAGTCTATAACTTTGCAAAGAAAGATCATGTAGAGCTGGAGGTTGTCTCATTTCGATAAGAATTGCGTGCACTATATTCATTACTTATTAAAACAAGTTTTAGAAATTTTTTTGAGTTTCTAGAAAACCAGTCAACGGAGGACTAGCATCCCGTCTTATGTTGGTATTCGGAATCAGCATGATCAACTACCTATAGTCCACTAGGTTTCGGCCCGAAAGCAATTTGACAGTTGAGAACGTTCCCTCATGAGTGCATTACCTAACGACCCACTAATTTCAGAAGAGTTCTCAAAAGCCCATAGCATAAAGACAGATGAAGTGTTAAAAAATCTAGCTATTTTGGTATCTATGTAAACCTTCAATTTCGCATTTTGTAATGAAAAATTTTATGTCTCGTGTTCTGAGCAGTTTGACATCTAGACTGAAACAGACAAAGTTATTTCCGTAAGTTTTGAGACACTTGCGTGTAAGATCACTCGTAGACTGTAGAGGTGATGAAAAATTGGACCAAGTATAGAGTCTTCGGTGTTATGAACAGGGATCCCAGATCTAAAAGACGGAAATGAGAAAATAAAACTTCAAAATCAGACAAAAATCAGAAAAAAAATCAGAACGTTGTTTATTCTCATACCCAAATGGTTAGTTATACATAAAAAATTTTAGAAAAAATAATTATAAATTAAATTTTCGTTCTATATCAAACAAAGATTCTAAAATAAGAAAATAAGAAATGAGGCAGAAAAAAGTCTCAAAATAAGACTTTTTCTGCTAAAATCAGACGATCTGGGATTCCTGGTTATGAATCTCATCGTGAACTAGAAAGGTCCGAGGACAAACTTTTTTGGTCGTGATGATCTTTGGATCATTTCACCTCAATAACTACGCTACTTAAATGTGTACTTTGAATGCTGTAATCGTTCTCTATCGAATTAGCACGAAGTAAGAAGTGACAAGTTTTTGCGAAACTTATTACAGAAAATGAATGAGGGGTCATCTATAAAACGTTCATTTTACAGTGAAAAGGAGAAAACGAAGAAAGGAATTAAGTGCAGGAATGTCGTTTTGATCCAATTTGCTTCTATTAATCAAACAAAAAACAACAACAAATGTTAAGTGGGATCTTCGGTATCCTTCTATACCGAAAATGCTAACTGATTTTTATTTAAGTTAAATATACTAGAGATACACTTGTACAATAATCATACATCATATTCAATAGTTTTCAGGAAAAAAGAGTTTACGCTGAAATGTTTGTCCTGTAAAAATTTGATGATGTTATGTGCCTATATCTGCACATATTATTAGGACTTTTACATAACTTTTGAAATAAAGTAAGCCTAACTGCTGTTTCTCGTGTGCAATGCTATTTAAAAGTATTACTGAGTATTTAAGAAAAAGCTGCGGTTAATCAGTTATTGCTCTATATAAATAATTTTAATTCTCTTGTTTATTTTGTTTAGCTTATACTCATCGTATTGGGCGTACTGGTCGAGCTGGCAAAACTGGAATTGTAAGTATTTATATAGGAGATATCTTCTACTCATCATCCAATTGTTTGTCTCTAATTTTAGGCTGTTACATTTCTTACTAAAGAAGATTCTGGCTTATTTTATGAACTAAAACAAGTCATAATGGAAAGTCCAGTATCTCAGTGTCCAAATGAATTACTGACGCATCCCGATGCACAACATAAACCGGGCTCGGTTCCACAAAAGAGACGAAAAGATGAAACACTGTTTGTCAATTAGAAATTCATTATTATTTTTCGTGTATATTATCGCGTTTTATTTCTTAAAATGCGAAAAACACAAATTAATCTTCTTCTCATTATATCAGTTGTGTGTTTGTCAATAAATGTTTCATTGTCGTTCTGATTTATACAGACTTGTCTCAATAACCGCTTTTTCCTGTGATAATTTACTAATTAACTCGGGATGTGGATGTGACCTGACATTGTTTTTCCTTTAACTTGAAGAATTTTCAATTTTCTTCACTTGAAACGGTTAACTTACTGAAACTTGTTAACTTTCTAATGAGAGTAAAGATGTTCTTTTCACTTTCATCTGAAGGCTAAGAATCATCCTGTCTTCATCTTTTCAGAACTTTGCGGTGCATTGAAGAAAGCGTTGGTGAACTGCAGTCATTTTTACTCCAAACATCTATCTAACACAACAGTAGAAAAATGTCCATACTGGAAGAACTGTTCATCCTGCTGATTGAAAGGAAAGTCATGTCAAATAAATTGTTTATAAATTGTTACTTGCTTAATCACAAGAGAATAGAACAAAAAAGAACAGAATATACATAAATATATACATAAAGATTAGAACCAACATCATAAAGAATATTTAACACGGAGAACACGAAATGACCATTAAAATATCTGATTTTTTAACTGAGAGTAGAAGCATCAGACTTTGGTACGATCTCGGTTTATAACATTTGTAAGGTGCAAATAATGCAAAATGGGAGCCAAATTTTTTTCTTAACTTATTATGCACCATTCGATAGAGTTTTTCGAGCTGATCACAAATATGTAGTTCTCAGTTTTTCGAAATGTTTCTTTCATGTCGAAAACTCGAACGATCTCAAAACCCGAAAAAACAGAGGCGAAAAAGTTGGAATTCTGCCCATAGTTCTCAATTTTCTCCAGCAGAACTCAGCTTCTGTCTGATAAAAGTATCATATTCAGAATCAGGATGACAAAAACGAATCGACTGATGTCTATTTCAAAAGTTTACGTTGATTTTCATTTTTTCGTGAAAATCTTGATGATTTTTCAGACGTAAAAATTAGAAAAAAATCAAAATACTCGGATAGGGTAGCGATGCACATCAGTCAATTCGCTTTATCATCCTGATTCTGAAAATGATATTTTTATTGGATAGAAGTTGAGTTCTGCTGGAGAAAACTGAGAACTGTGGGCAGAATGGCAACTTTTTCGCCTCTGCTTTTTCGAGTTTTCGACATGAAAGAAACATGTCGAAAAATTGAGTACTACATATTCGTGATCAGCTCGAAAAACTCTATCGAATGGTGTAGAATAAATTAAGAAAAAAATTCTGCTCCCTTTTTGCATTATTTGCGTCTTATACCAAGTAAAGTATTAGCAGGATTATTATTAATTCACATCATATCCAGGCATCCCAGTTAAACTAATAGGAACTGAAATGTTTTGAACTTTTTCCTGTGAATGTGAAGAAGAGCTATGAAGTCGGTTAATGAAACAACCAGCAATTGCTACGCTGCGCGACAACGTTTTTGGAGTTTACAAAACTTTTAAATTCTCACAAACTACAAAAAATTTAAATTTTTAAAAAAATATAGACTTTTTAAATTTTTGACAAATTTTGCATGTGCAAAAGGAGCTCTTAATCGCTGTCATTTAAAATTTACGTTTCTTTAAATTTTAACTAGCGGCGTTTCTCCTGCGCCGAACAGAATCACTCCAGAAAGTAAGGGTGAGGGTCAAATATTCCAGCCTCAATATCTCAAGGCAGGAAAATTCATTAGCATCGAATATCTTTCCGTTGTACTACTATGACCAAGGGTTGCAAGTGTGGCAAGTTTGAAACCAAAATCCGAAAGTCGGATTTTGCTCCCACGAGTAACGCTCGTGGCTCAGCACCATGGCTTGAAATTATATTTCTGAATAGGATTAGCGCTCTAGAAGTATATCATGCAACGTGGTAGTAAAGCGTTTACTGCCCAATGACTTTGTGAATCGAAAATTTTAGATCAAAAGTTAAACAACTTTCGTGAAAGTCGTTTACTATTTTTTCTATCGTTTATAAACGACAGAAATGAAAAGAAACAAAAGTCACTATCGTATATCTATCTTTTGAGAGTATAACTATTGTTCGATACGGACTAGATATATAATAGAGTTAAAGTTAGATACTTTGTGGTGATATTTATGTCGGTGAGACTTGCTCGTTTAAAAGACGAATAAAAGAACATATGCGGAAAATTAAACAGAGAGATTTCAAAGGATCAGAGTTAGCACAACATGCAGAGAACCCCGGTTGTTTTGTTAATTTCGATGAAAGCGTTATCTTTGACAAAGAAAAGCATTGGGCAAGGAGAAAGAAACTGGAAACGGTTTATACTATTGCCAATAAGGGTTACAATAAATGCAAAGGAATAAGTCCGCAGTGGAAGTCTACTATCAAGAAGTGGGTCCAACCCACAACACGGAAGAACTTTTTCCCGACAGTGGACAAACTAGTCGGTAATTCTGGAGAAATTATAAGTAATACTATCACTAATCAAACCACAACATATAGATATAATTATACGAGCTATAGTTTACGCGAACAAAAGAGGAAAAATTATAAAGAATGATCTAATAATATGTCTATTCGATTACAACTCTCTTTTCAATATCATACGGCCTGACTTAATCTATCCTTCTAGTTCGAGAGAGAGGAGAGGGGGGAAAAATAGCTTTTGTGTCTGTATACGTGCAAAGGAACCGTTTGCAGCAAAAGTTGTACAGAATAGAATCACTGGAATATGAACGAGTGATTTTTTTGAAATTCTTTAAACTCGATTTTGAAATTCGCAAACACGGTTTGTAAAACTTAAAATT